TGGATTATATTTAACAAATGAAAAATAGCCGCCAATTGCAAAGAGCTGAATCTATTGAATGATGACGATCAGGCGAATAATGTGAATATGAATATCGTAAGTATCTCTGAAAGTTTGAATAAGTAATATATAAATGAAATCAAATTGTCTAATTATTCATTTTAACATGTTTTATATTAGCCAAAACTCTCAACTTTAATTCATATTGGTGTCAATGATGATATACAATACAAAGTATTTAAAAATTCTGAGATATTTATATGAGTTTAAGTTTGAGTTTAGTCTATTCGCATTCATTATATAACATCATACAGAGTTAATTGCCCAAGAGAAGATTTATAATAGTACCACTTAGATCATAGCTAACAAGTGAAATTAATGGAATAATATAAAATCAAAATAACTCAATAAAAACCATTTGATCTAATTAACAAAATTACAAGAATCTTGAAATAATATTTTGAAGATAAATAATAAATTATACAAATAATTAAAAATTCTATTGATTTATACTTTTAAGTACTGAAAAACTACACCGTGCCGTAATGTCAACCTTCATAATTATTTTATAATATATACAATCTGATTTAGTGCTATGTCAAATCGATAATGACCATACAAAATGTATTACAGTTAGATGGTATAAATGAGATAAACAAGCCACCACTTTTCATCCATACTTATTAACTATCGTAACTCTCCTTTAATGTAATCCTTTAATGTAATAACCCACAACAAAATATTGAAGTTGCGCTCCCTAGTTGTTCAAACGCACATACCAGAAGAAAAACAACCTACTTCAGTATTGACTTTTGCAACAAGTCATATTGATATTGATAGAGCATTATTTGTACTTTCCAAACATAATAAATTCCTTCATTGCTCGTTACTGCTAATTCCTGTAACAAGTCGCTTGAGCGGCAGTTAAACGAAATTGCTTAGTACTACATAGTTGATATGGCCTTCTGATAACTTCTTAATTAGAATTATCGTTTGAAAGTGCATCATATTATATTTTTATCGCAATAGTATTAAAGCTGTTGAGTTGGACTGGAAGTGAGATCAATTGTTGTAGAGATCATTTATTACATTACTGTTCATCCATCTAATAATAGATTCTCTTTTAGTAAAAAGAGTTACGTTGAACATATAATCATTAAAATAACGATAAATGAAGCAACTAACATTCTCCTCCATTTCACCTTCATATTGATCTTTTTCATTTATAAAAACTATGGAGGTGTTAGCAAATATGAACATACAAATTATCTAGATAAACGTCTAAATCAATACCTGCAGTATCAAGTTCTTTGGTACAAAAAATTTTTGAGTTATGTATGATCAGGATAGAACATCTGTTTTTCATTAGAATAATTCTGAATCTTTCATAAATCAAATTCTTCAAGAGAACTTGAAGAAAAATTGATCCAGATATGTTCTTATAGATGTTCAATATAAAACAAATCTCCAAGGCGGTTGATAATGTTCACCATCAAGCCAATATAAGCTTTAAAGGATTTAAAATTTTTTAATATCGAATGTGGATTCAAAAGCAAAAAATTTCTTTTAACTCACTTAGTTCCAATAATAAAGTGCAAGATCGTTACGACTTACGACTGCATTTTCCATAATATTTTGTACCAAAATTGTAAATGGCTAAAGCTATAGTATAAACGCCATTAATATCATATACTTGACGTTAGGGAGTTATTCTTTGAAATAGAATTTTATGAATTAACTCATTTTTTTCAAGAATAACATTTACCACTACTTCTCGCTTGTACCGTAAAATAGAGCTACTGAAATAAATAGTTGTGAAATGCTGTAACCGTACTTTGAGTTAATTTCTTGTTACCTGTCTCAAGAAGGTTTTGCACTATTTATTCTATTAAAGTGACGATAGTATATTCCTCGTTGCTTGCCAAGACTTTTTTTTATCGTCCCTCAATCGAAACAGCAGTAAAAATTTAGAATTTATGAAAAAATAATATTTTGTATATGTTGTATAGATGACACCAAATCGGACACGTGATTAACTCTTTTCCTGACATGTTGCCGTAAAGTATTTGTTCTTCGTAAGCGATTCTTCATGGTATCGGGAGGTTATTTTTATATACAAAACTTTTTGTGAATATATTGATTTGTTTTTAATGATTAAATGGATCTCCTACATGTTGCGGAAAAAAATTAGAAGTGATCTACCTATACATTGCAAATTGGCTTTATATAATAATTGTTCATTGCTTCATTTAAATACTGAGAAAGAGTATTTTTATATATATAAAATCAAAAATTAGTAGATGTTATTTCTATATCGAATCGTATCTTTTTTTTTTTAGAAAAAAAAAAATACAAGAAATTTTATTATATATTGTTATTGTCTGTGGTTGTAATAGTTTTGTATTTCCAAGGCATTTATTTCGTAATCTTCGTAAGACCAAATTATACCTAGTATGAATGTAATGAATAAATTCACCGAAAGCAAGTACTTTGGTAGCGCGTGCTTGCAATCAGGCGATTACGTAATAAGATTACGGTGAATCAAAACCAACGGTAGCCCGCATTGGTCCGAGTAATGACTTGCTAATTTTCCGAAGTTATACCGTGGAGAGAAGACAAGGAGCTTACATTCGCTCGCTAGATAATTAACGTCATGATCACGGGTCACCTGATAGTTTAGGTTAAAAAACTACAGCCAAATACCGCAAATCCAAGTAGGGTGGCAATTGGAATACGGGCCGAGACAGGTTGAGTTTAAAAGACGTTTGAACTTTGTTAAGTTTTGAATTATAAATATTTAACATTCCTAGTCCATATATTCAGAAACTTTTCATCACTTCATAAGGATATAATATAAATAAAATTTCCTAAATAAGTTGTTTTATTTGAAAAGCGAACTTTTTTATTGAAAATGTCTAATAGTGAAGTAAGAAAAAGCAAAAACAGGGTTGAATAAATGATTTTTTTAAGTTTTAGTTAATTTCAGTGTATAAAATTTCTCAAATAATGTTTTAAATGAAAATAATCTAAATTTTCAATATTCGTAACACATCTTGCACAAATAAAAACTTGATATAACGGAATTTCATGTGATTTATATATAATCCGGTATATCGAAATTTTTTACCGGATATTTTTACTGGAACGGATGGTTCCGTTATATCGAATTTCACTGTGTAATAACTTACAATTCAGGTATTTTTAAATACAAGAATCCAGTTAACAAATAAATATTATATAAAATATATAAAAATAGAAAAAACAAATGACTTACAAGCTATATCGTAAATAATTTTATTAAATAAGGAATTTAATTATTTTATGTAAATATTATATTAAATAAATATCTTATAACTTACGACTTACGAGCTATATTATTAAATAATTTTTAAATAAAGTGAAGAGGGGTTCCGTTTGCAGGCCTCTAACCCTTAATATATATGGTTTGAAGTTTGCGTCCAACCAGCCAAAAAAAAAAATCATGAAAATCTTTCCTCTTTTAGGTAATTCCGGGTGAAAATTTAGTTATCATCTTTTTTGAACATTAACCAAAATTATCACCATTTCAGTCCTGACAAAATGCGGCTAATAGTAAAATTTTTTGGATGTCGTGACCTTTTATATATTTCATGATTCTTGTTGGAGTTTAAAATTAATGTAATAAACATACGAAAGAAGTAAGATAATAATGATTTTATTACGTTGTAAATTTGTAACAATTTTGGCAAAATTGTTCCTTAGATGAATTTTTCATCAATTTCAAATGCAAATTTTATTTATACTAATGAAAACAATAATGTTATAATATTTTTATCAAATACAAAGCTTCCAAATTTGAAATTGTGAAATTATGTGATTATTTGTAATTAATAATAATTTTTGTTTTATTTATTTTGAATTTTGGGAAAAATATCTATCTCACATTACAGTACATTTTAGAAGTTATTAAAAGTTGTTTTAATTATACTAAGTGTTTCTAAATTATACAAATACAGGCAATACTAAAATATCAGTTACATAACTATGATCTCTGTAAAATATAAAGCTAGCATGATGATGAATATTTTCAATTCCATCCATGTCAAAATAATTTTGCCTATACTTTATAAGGAACTTCACTTTGATCAAGTGTTGTAACCATATAAAAATAAAATATAGTATTTAATATTATAAATAATACCATTAATTTCAAGTAAGCTCTATATAGAATCACACAATTGTTCTAATCCAAATACTAAGAATACTTTTATAAAGTATTTAATAAAAAAGAAAGAGTATTTATATTGTTAATTAAGACACTTTTACGCGAGATATTCTAAAGATTATATCTCTGTTTATATATTAAATATTGAGTAATCTTTTTATTTAATTATTTATTCATATCATTCGTAAATAGTAATTATTTTCAAATCAGACCTTATGTAATATCGATATTTTCCAGAAAAATAAAATATCTATATTTAGTATCACAAGTGAACAATTAAAAAATCAATGCTGATGGTTAATTAATATTACGATTTAAGTCTCAATTATACACACTGTAGAAAATGACCTAAACTTATATAAAATGTGACTAACTACTATTATTTTTAATTACTTAATTAACAACAATATTAAAATAGTCCTTTGACTGATTTATTAGTTTAATTTAATAATCATAAATAAAATTTATGCCAATTAATTCGATACTGTATTAAATATATATTAATTTTTTGAATGAATGAAATTAATTTTAAATAGCACTTTGTTTCTTAAAGAAATATTAATAAGAATTATAAAGTACTGGCAAAAAAATTTTTGGTTTAAAACTATTCTTTTAAATATTTAAAATAAAAAACGGAAAATAGTAAATAACTGTAGTAGCGGTGATTTTATTTAAATGTTCAACAAATATTTTAAATGAATTGTTCTTTATTTCCTATTTTTAAGTCTTTCTAATCTATTTTGAGCTTCTTGATCTCCTTGTTCAGCTGATTTTTTGTACCAATAAATTGCTTTATCTATATTTTAACAGTTCCTTCATTTTCATACATCATAGCAAGATTATATTGAGCTAAACTGCTTCCTAAATCTGCTGTCTTTTGATATAATTCAAAGGCTTTTTTCTTATCAACGTCAGTTCCAATTCCATTTTTATAACAATATCCTATATTATTTATTCCATCTACATTTTCCAAATCTGCTGCCTTTTGATATAATTCAAATGCTTTTTTCTTATCAATATCAGTTCCAATTCCATATTGATAACAATATCCTAAATTATTTATTCCAGATGAATTTTCTAAATTTGCTACCTTTTGAAATAATTCAAATGCTTTTTTCTTATCAATGTAAGTACCAATTCCATGTTGATAACAATATCCTAAATGATTTATTCCAGATGAATTTCCTAAATCTGCTGCTTTTTGAAATAATTCAAATGCCTTTTTTCTATCAATATCAGTTCCAATTCCATGTTTATAACAATATCCTAAATGATTTATTCCAGATGAATTGCCTAAATCTGCTGCTTTTTGAAATAATTCAAATGCCTTTTTTCTATCAATGTCAGTACCAATTCCATGTTGATAACAATATCCTAAATGATTTATTCCAGGCGAATTTCCTAAATCTGCTGCCTTTTGAAATAATTCAAATGCTTTTTTCTTATCAATATCAGTTCCAATTCCATTTAGATAACAATATCCTAAACTATTAATTCCAGGCGAATTTCCTAAATCTGCTGCTTTTTGATATGATTCAAATGCTTTTTTCTTATCAATATCAGTTCCAATTCCATTTTGATAACAAAATCCTAATCTATTTATTCCAGACGAATTTCCTAAATCTGCTGTCTTTTGAAATAATTCAAATGCTTTTTTCTTATAAATATCAGTTCCATTAGAATAACAATATCCTAAACTGATTATTCCAAATAAATTCCCTAAGTCTGCTGCCTTTTGATATAATTTAAATGCTTTTTGCTTATTAATACAAATTCCAAGTCCAAAATAATTAAAATCTCCAAGTAAGGCAAGAGAATTTGAGTCATTTTGATTATTTAATAATAAATTATTAATTTCTTGCAAAGTTATATTACGGTTATTAAGATAGTTTAGGACTTTTCGCTTTGTTACTTCATTATTATCATTAAAAATAATAATTAATATATCATTAACTATTACATCGAAGTTATTGTTCTCAAATTGGTTACTTGATGACATCGAAGATTTTTCTATTTCTTCTGTATTCATCACATTGAAATTTTGAATAATTTGAGACAAATCTCCATGTAATGAATCAATATTTTCAGAAATCTCACCATCCAAAATTGGCTGCTGATTATTAGATGATTGTGTAATTTCATTAATTTTATTATCATTAAATAAGTGAAAGTCTTTGATAATTATATTTTCTTTTTTTATAATTTCTTTTAATTTATCAAACACTTGGTTGATAGTTGGACGGTTATCAGGTTCAATATTCCAACAATCTATAAAAAATATATATTAATTGAAATGGTATTATTTTTAAATCATAGGTTTAAATAGTATTTACCAGTATAAATTTTCATATATTCTTCAGGTGTATCAGGAATGGGGTCCTCTCTAAGACCTTGTAAAATTTCCATGGCCAAACCGAGATCTTTCAATTCATTACAAAAAGGTTGTCGTCCACTAGAAATTTCCCATAAGAGTATGCCAATACTGTAAACATCACTCTTCTCGTTTAACGAGTATACTTCTGGCTGGTTATTGTTAATATTTCTTCTTCTATTGAATATTTTTGGATCAACATAAGTAATCATTCCAAATACTTTTGATTGAAGATTGGATGATTCCTCAATCCTTTTAGAAAGTCCAAAATCGGCTAACTTAACAGTATTCTGATGGACTAATATATTTTTGGAGTGCTATTATTAAGTATAAAAAGATTAAACTAAGATAAAATGAGCATTAAATAAAAACAATTATAATAAATCATAAATTGATTAATTACCAAATCACGGTGCACGATTCCTTCACCATGTAAGCATGATACTGCATAAACCAGTTGAAATGCAAGACTAAATTTATCGTTCCAAGTAAGATTTTCAAAATTTTCTTTCAAATAAGTTCGAAGTGTACCACCGTCAGCATATTCTATTACCAACGAATATTCTTTGATTTGATTTCCTTTTAAAAAGAAAAATCCACAAGTTAATTAATGATTATATGTTAAACAATGATTATTGAAAACTTATCATATCCCTACTGAAAGTTGTGACGCCATAAAAACGGATAACATTATCATAAAAATCAACTTCACGATGATGTTGAATCTAAATAATAATAATAATAAATTATACTAGAAATGTAAATATTATAATAATTGAATCATTTTTTTTTGATATTATTATTACCTCACGAACAATTGCTTTAATTGTAGCATCATTTAAATTATAAAAAGATTTAAGTGCACAACGTTTATGAGAATCCTTCCAATCTGCACGATAAACTTTTCCGAAGCCTCCAGAACCAATTTCTTCAATATTATAAAATTGGCCAAATTCATAAAATTTGATAAGTTTTTTAGAGATTGCTTCTTCTATCCAATTACACTCATTTGAATTATTAATAAGTTCAGTGTTATTAGACATTGTTAAGTGCAGGAAAATTTTTACTGCGGAAGTTAATTTTATGGTTTTATAAAGGTAGAATTTAAAGAAGAATATACAAATATTTTTAACTATTTATAGATAGGATAGTATCACCAGACATTTCTACGTCACAGTTATGTAGGATAGATTGCACAAAAGATCGCACGAAATTTGAAATTCCTGGATAAATTTGGTAAATTGGAAAGAACATCTTTTGTAACGTATTATTTAAAATGATTTTCTTTTATATATGGATGTGAGATTTTGATGGTATCAGTTGGATAATCGCCCGTTAGATGTGTTAACTAAATAAAAGTTTAGGAATTTGTGTTTTTCTACTATCTGTAAATTATTATTTCCTCGTTTTAAAGACAAAGATTTAGTAACTTTAGTCATTTAACAGTATCTTTAAACACAAGATTTCTTACGTAAATACAAAAAATTATTATTATTTCCAAGGAATTATTAAATCTGTTTCTGTTTCTAAATTTAAATTGAACATAGTTCTTAATTGAAATGTATACTTTATCGATTTTTTGGTCAATCATGTTCTAGAACAATAGTGTATAAATCCATTGTGTACAATGTGCACGTGTGCACAATTTTCTAAATTGGATGTGCACATGTGCACACAACAGATAATGTTGAACAAAGTACATTCTGTGCAGAAAATTTATCGTTATACAAGGTATAATAAAATGATAGTCTAATTTTTCTTTTTTTGTGAGACATCACAAAATACCTAAATGATTATTACTCCTCAAGAAAAAAAGACCACAAAAAAAAGGAGTCAAAATGTTAAGAATACAAAAATTATTCAAATTAGTGATATTAAAGATAACGAAATTGATAGTAAAGAAGAAGAATTAAATGATACTACTTTGACGAAAAAAAAAATAAATATTCACGTTTAAAAAAGACAGCCTTAAATGGAATCCACTTTGGGCTTCAAAATATTCATGGTTATATGAAAATAAATGGAAGAGAAGTTTGAACGACAGTATATCAATAACGAATGATTGGCGAATTTAGGACTTGCACAATTATCGAAACATGATTCAAATTTTATATATAACGTCCGATAACTTGGATGGAAAACCGTATACTTTTGCAAGTGATATATATTGTGCGCCTTTAAACTCCGCGTAGAAGTCTCGCGCTGTTAATATTTTATTCTCATGATGAAATTTCAATACCTCGCTTCTTAAAAAAGTTACTATCATTACTACTAACATATAGTATCAATGATAATCGAAACCGTTGAGTAAGACCCGAGTATTAATATTTAGTTATGCTAGTAAATTAGCGCTTGATTCCGGTATATACCCAAAATAACAACGAATATTATTCAAATTTTAAATCGAACATTACAAATTTATGTTTTGCCATATTTCTGTATATAAATTGAAAATAAGAATGTAAAATATAAAAACCTTGTAACATATTTATCATTAAATGAAATATTCTTATAATTCTTTTGGAAAGCACAAATTTTTGATAGAAATCATTATTACTCTTAAGGAACGTCCCAAACTATAACCTATCTAGTGGCAGAAGGATAAAACATAATACACTGGATTCTCCTATCAGGATGTGTTGAATGGTGATTGATTAATGACGAACTAATGGACATTAAGATTTTAATCGGAATCTATCAATGCTAATGACATTAAATAATCATAGTATAACTCGACCAATTTTCATCCTTTTACAATTACTAGATGCCAAGTAATTGCATTTACGTTTTTATTTCCTCATTTTCGAACTCATTATATTGTCTAGATTTTAATTAAATCATTTAAATCATCGTAGAGAATACTTCTTTAATGTCATTTTCCGTATCTTTATTTTAATTTGTTTGTATCGTTACATTCCATTGACTTTCTGGTTTTATAATAATTCATTTATGGTAATAGACTTAATAAATATAATCAAAATAATTTTGTAAAGATTTGCTCGAACGAAGCAAAAGAAGAATCAGACGTTTCTTCTTCTTTTAAGATGATGCCAATTTCGGTAAAGAAAGAGAGACTGATAGTTATAAGACGCGAATAAATACGTTCGAAGAATCTCCTCATTTTACTAGACCATCAACTAAAGTTTATTTATAACAAAATATTTTATCACTAGTAGTCAATTCCATTTATTTCGTTTCCTATTTAACACTCGCTTTGTCGGAACTTTTCTTATTGATAACAGATAAACAAGTATTCCAACCAAGTGCAACACAATTAACAACTAAAGTCCTATAATTCAATGGAAATAAATTGAAAATTGAGCAATTGTACAGCCGATAATTATTAATTAAAGTAGGTACAAAAGCCTGTGTATATTGAGAATATTAATATTAACTTAAGTAAAACAATATCTTTAAGATAAATATTCTGAGAGGAATTTATATTTACATCTCCAAGCTTTTCTAAAATTTGAGATATTTCTTACGGTGCGAATATAGCTTGATCTAAAGTGACATGTGTTAATAGTCCTTTATAGAAAAAGAAAACAAAATAAATAAATAAATTAGGAATAAAATAATTAATCTTATAATGTAAGGGTATATATTACCTAACATGGGATTTTTAAAGAACAATGCACCCACTATGACTATGTATACTAGTCTCTTTAAATGCACCCTCTAGTTTGGTCCCAAGCTTATATGATCTCTAATTATTTTACCTCTATAAATGCACACTCTCTTTAAATGCACTATTTTGAAAATTATGCATATGGTCCCAATGGGTGTGCAATTATGGAGGTCTGACTGTATTTTAAATTACTTAATATTTTCGATACCAGATAGTCGTGGATGGTCCCTTATTTAATTTATTATAAAAAATTTTTAGAAATAAAATTTTCATCTTTTAAATAATAATGCTTACAGCTATACATAAACCAAATCCTCCAAGTCTTAAAGTTCTGTAAAAACTGAGATTTTAACCCTCTTTGTTCAACAAATTGTTGTGCTATAATATCTCCTGTAACAAATAATGTTCCTGAATAAATTCAAATTTATAATATCAAATTATGTATTTCATCAAGCAAACAAACATTTACCAGTAGATAGTAATGGTTTGTATTAGAATTGGTCTTCGGAATAAATGATTTTTGTACCAATTGAAAAAAGACATATCGTAGTATATAATAGAAGAATTTTAGGAAAGGAAAATGGAGGAGTTGAAAAAGTTTAAATCTATATTTAGAATTTACCTGGTTTTAAATTTGCACGACTGAGATCAGATTTGGAGTAATAATTCTCCGACACCCAATTATTACTTTTTCAAGTGTTTTTGCAGTAATGATAAGCAATATATAATATTGCGATGACCTAAGTAATAGGAACGATCGGTAATATTGAAACTCTTTTTTTAGCTATGTCAACACGTCTTAAATAATTTGTATATGTTTAATTAAGAATTTTTTTTAAAAATAATAGTACTGTTAACCAGAAATAAACGGAAATGTTATTAATATAGTCAAGACCTGATATTCGATACGATATATATTAAATTTTACTTTCCCACTATATGAGAGTAAATATCGGTATAATTTGATATATCGGAATTTCAATGATCTTCATATGATATCGTTATATCAGAGTTTGACTGTATATATTAATATGCGACATTTTTGTAAAAAGTTACGCGACATAAGCGACAATTTAGATAGATTGATCGCTATGTTGAATATTGTGATTGATTGAGGCGTAGTGCAGTAATGAGTCATTGCAAATTACATAATTTGTAAAAAAGTTTGTACTACAAAAAAATATATAAAAAGACCTTACCTCCTTTTTTTCAACTACTTGAGATTACCCAAATACTTCACCCAAATACTCAACTATATCTTCGCCCAGACGCGGCTGAGTACGTGTTCACCGGGGGAGGGATCGCTGAAAGTCTTCCGGATGGTGGACTGTTATGGTTGACAGGTTTATGTGCTAGTAGTACGTACCATTTGCTACTGGCTATGTAGTCATCTGTTTTGTGCACAAGTCGTAGCTACAATAATGCCACGCACATAGGTGATCCCCAAGTCGATCCATATCCGTGGAAATGACACATATTTCTATGTCATGGCATACACTTAATTGTTGTTATTGAATACTATATGAGACCATTTGCCATAGATTCTATGATGGCCACATAGATGTCCTGGGGTTCCCTGCTTAGCATAGGCATAAGGTAAACTTCATATGGTATGAGGAGATGGTGACTAAAAAAATTTGTAAATTCTGTAGGGTGTGCTGGACATGACCAAATCGTCTTGAAAATAGTTAATTGTCTCCCTTACTAGCTTTCTTATGCAATTATGGCACATTGTAATATTCTGCCTTTCTAAAGCAAGCAGAGGTACTACCTACACTCGAAAAGGATAACGTTAATTATTATGATTTATTTAGTATTATAAGGGAGTATTAAAAGGTTAATTTAATTCTTTAAATAATCGACTTTAAACTTTTTTCTAATTTTTTTAATTCTTTTTTCTTGTATTTCCAGAAGGATCCAGAAATATATATAAAAGGGTCAGGTTTGAGTTTGCGTATTTTGAATTAAAAAAAATCATGAAAATCTTTCCTTTTTAGATAATTTTTTAATAATAATACCAGTCAGAATTTTATTTCCTATTATAATAACTGACTGACATTATCATAATTCCGGCCCTGAAAAAATGCGTACAGCTCATAATAAAAATTTTTTTTCATCACCTGACTCCTATATATATATTTCTGGGTCCTGGATATAACTTTTTTTATTTTTGAAACCTGATTTTCGTTCAACTAGTAAAACTTAGATTCTGTTTTTATTATCAATTTTACAGTTTATACTATTGTACGAGTTTCATTATCGTAATTGAAAAAGTTTGTGATATTTTAAATATTATTTTTTATACTGTACCGCAGTTGAACCACGCGCATATGATAATGCTTTTTTTTACACCAATTACTTTAGAACATGATCCCTTATATAATGTAAAACAAATAATTAAAATTAAATTGTATAGCTTAAATTAATTAATTGGAAGTCGGATTTTCGATTACTTTTTTTTTTAGTAATAGTCATGATGTATTTGTTATTGATAAACTTGTAATGATCGACAAAATCTATTAATTCATGAGTATGCTGCATTGCTGCTTTTACTGAAAACCCACGGAATAAAACAATCAAATACGGTTTTATGGAATATAGTTACCGCTTTTATTAAGTTGATTGTGCTAAAAACGTGCTACGTAAAAATGAATCATCCATCATTTTTTCTATTAATATTATGATTATGACTATGAATAGTTTTTTCTCAGACTTACCAAATTTAGTAAAATTCCTTAGAAGTCTAAATTTGGCGTAAAAGAAAAACATGTTCGTGTCCTGACACGTTCATTTTGTAACCACAAATTCTTGTACTTACAAGTACGAAAAAAAAACATTTATTGTAAAATCAACTTTAAATGGTAACTAATTCCGGTAGTTAATTTTGGATTAAAATATGCTGAAACTATATAATAAGCATTCTTACCCAACCCATCTTCTTCAAATAACTTCAAAATGCAAAAAAATACTGTCAATTCAAACGAGTGGATCGATTGGATTGAAGATGCCATTTCTAAAGATCTTATTAAATACTATGATTTTAAATACTTTCATAACATAAAAGAAATCAGTTCCGGTGGTTTTGGAAAAGTCTATCGTGCGAGTTGGAAAAATTTGCGTAAAACTTTTACGTTGAGAACTTTTTATAATTTCAATAAAATAATAGCTGAAGAAATTGTTAATGAGGTATATTATAATTTAAATTGGTTTGATTATTGTTAACATAATATATCAAAATTAAAAATTTTAAAATGGTCTTAGATTACATTACAACGTAAGGTCAATTTTCACAAGAATATAATTCATTTATACGGTATTACAAAAGGTAATATTTAATAATATTCATAATTAACTTTGTAAATTGTAAGGCCCACAGTAATTTTTTTTTTTTTATATATATATTAGTGGGTAATAAAAATAATCTATCGAAAAGTTATTCATTGGTAATGGAATATGCAGAAGATGGAACTCTCAGAGAATATTTAAAAAAAAATTATTATAAACTTACTTGGGATAATAAATTTAATTTGGCTTTTCAATTATCTTATGTCGTATCATGCTTACATGATGAAGAAATTGTACATCATGATTTGGTAATAAACGTATACTATAAAGATTTTTATGATTCATTCAATAATTTTAACTCTATTATTTATCGAATTTAATAAATAATAGCACTCAAACAATATATTGATTCATCAAGATACCCTCAAATTAGCGGATCTTGGCTTGACAAGAAGAATTGAAAAAGTATTCGGTCTTCAATCAAAGTCATTTGAAACGCTTCCTTACATTGATCCCAAGAGTTTTGATAGACAAAGAAACGAAAATAATCAAATACAAGTATATTCATTAGATGAAAAAAGTGATGTTTACAGTATTGGAGTATTGTTATGGGAAATATCTACTGGTCGTCCTCCTTTTTGTGATGATCAATTTGATCTTGACTTGATTAATGAAATTTTAGAAGGTTGCAGAGAGATACCAGTTTTAAATGCGCCCAAAGATTACGTAAAAATTTATTCTGGTAAAGTTACATTTAAACTTATTTTGTTATAATAGCTCTAATTGATTAAGAAAAATAATTTTCTTTAAAATTTGTTATTTCATATATTAGATTGTTGGAACGGTGATCCAGATAAACGTCCAACTATAAAAGAGGTGATTTCTAATTTAAAAGAATTTAATAATAAGATGATGAATATATCAATTTCACCACCTAATTTTAACCTAATTGTAGCTAAAATAGTTGATCATTTTAGTATGATATTAGAAACAAAAGAAAATGAAAAACGAAAAATTCTTGATTATCTTGATGAACGTAATATAACTTCACAAGAAATATATGATTTCATATCAAATAATCAAGACGATTCGAATTCTATTGTTTTACTTGGAACATTTTTATATTTAGGAATTGGAACAAATGTTAATAAATCAAAAGCACTTGAGTTATATCAAAAAGCTGCAGATTTAGGAAATATATCTGGACTAAATAATTTAGGACAATTTTATCAGTATGGAATTGGAACTAAGATTAATAGAAAAAAGGCATTTGAATTATATCAAGAAGCTGCAAATTTAGGAAGTACAACTGGTATAAATAATTTAGGATGTTGTTATGAAGCTGGAATTGGAATAAGAATTAATAAAAACAAGGCATTTGAGTTATATCAGAAAGCAGCAAATTTAGGAAATATGTCTGGAATGAATGATTTAGGCCGTTGTTATCTATGTGGAATCGGAACTAATGTTGACGAAAAAGAGGCATTTACATTATATAAAAGAGCCGCAGAATTAGGAAATTGGATAGCCCAATATAATCTTGCTTCTATGTATGAAGAAGGAAAAGGAACTGTGAAAAATGTGGATAAAGCAATTTATTGGTATAAAAAAGCTGCATTACAAGGAGATCAAGAATCTAAAAACGAATTAAACAAATTAGAACTTTTAGGATAAGTAATCAAATTTGTATAAAATTTGTTATATTACAAGTAAAATTTTTTCTCTTCATATGTAATTTTCCGAATTAATCCAAATATATTGGTTAACAAGCTTATAAATAAAAATAATCTTAAGTACGTTCAATAACCGTAAAACAATTTTATTGAATCAAAAAATGTATTTATTTCGTGACAATAGCGTGATGACGCGAGCTTTTAAGCAATTACTGAAATTAAAGATAAAATAGTTTTTTTAATTAAAAGATTAAATTGTATGGTTTGTTTGGATAATTAAGATCGTTCATTTTGTTTACCTATAACATCTCTTTTCTTTAAATACAAAACAGTATATTTTGAAATATGCTAAGAGATGAACAATTGTAAGCCCGGAGCGAGAGGAGTAAATATAAATTATAATAATTAGACGGGTAAAAATCGGTTCACCCCGATAAAATATTGATTGTGAACACATTAATTATACAAAAAAAATTTCGAGTGACATATAATAATACAATTATGGAGGATAACATTTTTACTGGACAAGGTGATTTTTTCAAACTTATCAGTAGATATTGAAGTATTGAAGTTTATCGATGAAAATATTCACATTATTCACGCAATACTTATTTTTTGCCAGTACATCGCTCCAGACAAATACAGTATATCAAGAATTACACATCGTTAAAATTACACTTTTTTACTTTCTTTTACTAAAAAGTACGTTTAAGCATTATCATGTCACATTTTAAATTCACATCTTAGCCTATTTTTAAAGAATTTAACATCAACTGACTAACGGAACGGAAATTTAAACATCAATGTATTTCAAATGTACTAATACGGTAAACGAAATTTAAAGGTACACTATTATTTAGAATTCAGATTATCACATCCTTCATTCTTTTTATTACTAACTACTCTGATCAGTTGTTTTATCTAAAATAAAATGATGTAATTTCACTGTAAATATACTGTTATGACAGATCTATATCCGTGTTTGACTTCTTTTTCTTATTATCAAGTGAAAGTTTCCACAGGCATGATTAATTTAAGTTAAATATAGTACGAATCTACACGCACATATCGTCAAATCCGTCCACAAAACGGAATAAAATAAATTGATTGTAATTTTTTTTAATCATGTCCTTTAACATTTAACGATTATGTGATGCGAAAAATCACGTGATCAACGAGCAAAAATTGTATTTGCATAATTTCATTTCAAAAATGAGAATTACTATACGTGTAAATAAGGATTCTTGATTAAAAAAAAAAGGTAATTATTTTAAAATATATTAAACAAATACAATTAACCGATCGATTTTTTATCGGCTTTTTTTAATATACAGAACCGACGATTGGAAACCGATTTGATTTTAGCGGTTATCACATAAATATATTTGTAAGTTTGTAATTAATTAATTAATTAATTCTTTAAAGTAAATTATTAAAAGAATAAATTGAGAAATACCGTCTAACTTTGCACATTTGATGATTCAGTTTTACCTTCGGTGCTTTCCTAAACATGAACTTGATCGATCTATGCTTACCGATATAGAACAAGGTTGTTTTACATGCTTACTATTATTCTTTTAATGATACTTTCGCATTATTCGCTCACGTATGCGTTCCTTCAATACAATCATAAAAGTTTTTCTGTTCTATCTCGAATATCTTGATCTCCTTACACTGCAGATTCTATACACCCAAAAATTACTTAAATTAATATTTTCTATAACTTCTTCATTTTTTACATAACTGTACTGAGTTATTACAGTGGTTTCAAATTTGCAACCTTTTAATAAAATGTAAATGCATTTTTTTTATTAACATAAAATCCTTGATAACATTATCCTAGTTAGTAGGAACGTAATATAATGTAGAGTTGAGGATGACGGAATTACTACAATACAACGTTGTAACGCATGTTGCAACTAATACACAAGATTAATTTCTTCTAATTATATATTAAAAAAATGCTGTTATATTATTATAATACGACAATACAACGTTGTAACATACGTTACGACATCGCGCAAATTTCAAAAATAAATACAACTCTAGCTCTAATATAATATTACATTATAAATACCTCATGATCGTTGTTTTTTTGCAATGACTTTATCAAGATTATTCAATACAAAATGTCCTTTAAAATTTTATAATTTTATATTAAATTCGCACAATAGAATTTCTCAAAGCTTCAGGAACAAATTTTCTTAATGTTGCAAAAGTTACAATTAAATTTTAATAACGTATTCATTTGAATAGTTAGTATTGGTTTGCACTTTGGTATTATTTTGCCGCTGTGAGAATAAAAAATTTCGCGCGTTTAAAGTAATATATATTTGATTCTAAACCATTATGCTTATGCACAAAATACAAAACATACTTTATGTAATATAAAAATGGTAATTTTTTAGAAAAAAGACATATCTAGAATGTTCTTTTATTTTAAAAGACTATTAATTAATGTTATTTTGGTTTATACTCTAATCAGAAGGCCTCTAGAGAATTAACCTAATTGTTCGGTAAAGTTTAAATAAAATCTGCATAAATGTACGTGTATATAATTTAAATTCATGAATTCAGCTAGTTAATAAATCTAAATCCAACAATAACGTTTAAATAAAGTCATTATTAACTTCTAAAGATTCTAATCTACTTCGAGCATTTTCATCTCCTTGTTCCGCAGATTTTTTATACCAATATATTGCTTTATCCATATTTTTTACGGTTTCAACTCCATTTTCATACATAGTGGCAAGCATATATTGGGCTGTCCAACTACCTAAATTCGCTGATTTTTGATATAGTTCAAATGCCTTTCTCTTATCAACACTGGTTTCGATTCCATTTAGATAATAATGTGCCAAATAACAAATCGCATCTGGATGTTCACTTTCATCCAATTTTTTAAATAATTCAAAAGCTTTCTTGTTATCTTTACTAACGCCATCCCCTTTATCATATATACAAGCGAGACAAAATTGAGCTTCTTTATATTCAGAATTCGCAGCCTTCTCAAATAGTCTAAAAGCCCTCTTCATGTTAATTCTAGTTCCAATTCCATCATGGAAGCAAGTTGCTAACATGGTCATCCCCGATATACTTCCTAAACTTTCTGCATCCTGATATGATTCAAACGCCTTTCTCTCATCAATACTAGTCCCAATTCCATGTTGATAACAATATCCTAAACGCTCTATTCCATCGGGATATTTGTCTTCGGCTAATTCTTTATATAATTCAAAAGCAGTATTATGATCTTTATCAACACCGTTTCCCTCTTCATAACATATGCCAAGATTATATTGCGCTATACTATGTCCTATTCTCTTAGCCTCTTTATACAACTGAAACGCCTTATTTTTATTAATGCTAGTCCCAATTCCGTTATCATAACAATATGCTAAATTACATTTTCCAGATGCACTTCCCCGAGTTGCAGCCATCTGATATAACTCAAACGCCTTTTGCTTATCTTCACTAACTCCAATTCCATTCTCATAACAATGAGCTAAATAATTTATTCCATATACATTATTATCTAAATTTACAGCATTTTGATATAATTCATAAGCTTTTTGTTCATTAATTTCTGTTTCAATTCCTAAAAAATTAAATTTTCCAAGTAAAACAATTGAATTTGAATTATTTTGATTACTTGATATAAAATCATATATTTTTTGTATTGTTATCTTATTATTATTGAGATAATCAAGAATACATTGTTTTTCTTCATTTTCTTTTACATTACTGAGACGATCAATTATTTCGTCAACGTGATCATCATCAACCACTACTTCACGGTCTTCGATATCCTCAGTTATGTCATGATTCTCATAATTTACGTCATTCTCATAATTTACGTCAACCATTTCGTCAACCATTTCATAATTCACGTCAACCATCTCGTAATCCATATCATAATTCACGTCAACCATTTGATTACCTATATCATAATTCACATCAATTATTTCAATATTATCATCATTAGAAATTTCATTTATTTCAACATTATCATCATCGGAAATCTCTTTCATTTCAACATCGTCATCGTTAGAAATTTCATCATTTTTCGTAATAATATTTATAATGTCCGTAATGACTGAAATAACTTGATTGATAGTTGGTCGATTATCTGGTTCGATGTCCCAACAACCTAAAAAAATATGCACAATTTAATCGATTAGTAAATTAAACCAATTTAATCATACAATGCATAATTGAGTTTGAATATTTACTAGTATAAATTTTTATATAATCTTTGGGTGTATCTGCAACAGGAGTCTCTCGAAGACCCCCTAAAATTTCATTTACCAAAATGATATCATAAGGTATTTTATCAACAAAAGGAGAACGTCCGCTGGATATTTCCCACAATATCACACCCACACTGTAAACATCACTTTTTTCGTTTAACGAATATATTTGTGTTTGATTATCTTCATTTTTTCCATTTTTTCGTCTTCTAACAAAACTCTTTGGATCAATATAAGGAACTGTTCCAAATGATTGAAAATTAGATGCTTCATTAATTCTCTTTGTCAAACCAAGATCGGCTAATTTTAGAGTATTTTGATGAATCAATATATTTTTAGGATGCTATTATTAACATATAAATAAATAATTACGTAAGATATAAATATCATCAAACAATGATATAAGATAATCGTAATAATTACCAAATCATGATGGATAATTTCTTCATCATGTAAACAAGATACACCACAAGATAATTGAAATGCCAAATTTAATTTGTCATCCCAAGTGAGTCTTTCGAAATTTTCTTTCAAATAATTTTGAAGGGTACCACTATCGGCATATTCCATTACCAATATATAATTTTTCGAATCATTTTCTTATTAAAAGAAAGAAAACAATTAATTGATTCAGATTCACGATTAGAATATATTAAATCATCGATGATATATAAATGCCGTTATATATATACAAAGTAAATAAAATAATATACCTTTCGTGATGCCATAAAATCTAATAATATTTTCGTTAATAGCGATTTTGTTTTGAAGTTGTATCTAAATTATAAGAATAAATTAGAAACTTGAATATATTTAATTAATAAACGCATTATAATTATTATGATTTAGTACTTCATGAACAATTTCTTTAATTGTAATTTCATTAAAATCATAAAAAGTTTTTAATGCAAAACTTTCGTGAAAATTTTTCCAATTTGCACGATAAACCTTCCCATATCTTCCGTCACAAACATCTTGAAAGTTATAAAAACGATTATGTTCAAAATGTCTAATAAGTTTTTTTGAAGAAGCTTCTTCAATCCAGTTAATCCATTCATTTGAATTGTTAGTATTAGCTTGCATTTTTGATGATGGTCAATGATGTGAGAAAAAGTAGAAATAAAAAACTCCGTGTAAAATGTTTACTTTATATACGTGAATCAGATGATCCCCATACAGTAGCTTTTTGGGTTATTTGGGCTAGCTGTTAGCATAATGACAATCCCAAATATGGCAACTAAACAGATCTAGTAAAAAAGTGACGTAATCTTAATTCTGTAAAGCTGGCTTTCATACAAGATATTTTAATGACTTCAACGTACTGTAACAGCTCGACCGGAAACAAAATTGGGAAGAAAACATATAGTATGATTATTTTATTATTATTAAACTGACATTGAATATAACAGATGACCTTTCACAAGATGGCTTCTTCTGCAGAAAATTCCGAAGAACTGCAGCGAAGGAAATTGCCAGAAAAAGAAAAGCCCATTACATTAATGATTAATCATTAGAAGACGATCTAAAAAGAATTCGGAAATCAACACGGGATATCAATACACATAAAGAGTACATTGCCATGATTTATCAATTTGACACTAACCTAATAGATCATTATGCATAATCTTGTTTCAAAAAATGATGCGCCACGACAAATTCGAAAAAGTATAAAAGCCGCAGAACAATGATATGGAATTTTTAAAATAAATTTTTAATTTTGTAATACTTTGTTTAAACATTGATTTAGGTTTATATTATAGAAATTAGCATATAATTATTATAAACTTAAATAATTATTTATTGATTAATATTTACTGATTGCAATTTACAAGCCTTTAAGTAAAGAATATTTTCAATATATCATATAAATAAATAAATTTAATTTATAATAGTGTGTCTTAGATATTTTACCATGCAACTGACGTTATGTCTTTATTGGAAATCGAAATATATGTTAGAAAATTGTTTAATTGAACGTATTTCGAACTAAACTGGATCTGAATGGTCTTTTGGTTCGTTCGACTTGAAAAAATTAATTCGATGGGAGGTTGATGTAGCTGATTGGTAGATGGTAAAACTTAAAAATAGCGTAAAAAAAAAAAAAAAAAAAAAAAAAAGGTTCTAATTAATAAATTGGTTTTTTAGTGTAATAAGGTGATAAATCTTAATATAATCGTTTTTTAAATCACTTAATCATTAAAAAAAAAATTTCTATTATTGTAACAAAACAATACATATAATAAATCACATGTTAATATATAAATAAGAATCACTATCAGTTGAACCACAGTCTAATCGGACTCCATTGGTGATTGATCTGTCCCATTAGCTCTATCGGTTGCTTCACGCTTGTACTTTACTTTCAAGTTTCAATCGATGCAGTTCGATCGAGTTTTTTTTAGCGGGTTGGCGGCTTTAGCTTTAAGTCGGATCGAAGCGGTCCGCTAGTAACACTAATTGGTAAATATTTAAATTGTATTAATTGTATTGTGCATGATACAGGATGATGACATATTATAGCGCATGAGATTCTGTCCCGCGTATGTTTAATTTGCAGATCTCATGTTTTGCAGATCTGTATCGCAAACATTAATAAAAACTATAAATTTACAATCATAGAATACGTAAAGTGTACATTTAATAAACATAATATATCCAAAAAGCGGAGTTATTTGAATCTAATATGTATGTGGTGCTAAATTTTTAATTAATAAAAGATGATTTATCTCGATAAAAAAAACACTCCATACATAGTAATTCATACCCTAAATAAGAGATGAAGTGTGGAATAGTATTTAATTTACATGATTAAGATCAACGGTACCCAGTCTATGTGGTCCATAACATGAAACGTAATATTTGTTACACGAAATATGATAAATATATACATATAGCAAATTTTTTTAATTTTTTTTTTTCTAAAAAAAAATAATAAAGAAAAAATGGTGTATCTCAACGAAGACGTCCTTTTCCAAATATTGGAAGATTTAAATGATAAAAAATCCATTTATTCATGTCTTTTGGTTAATAAAACTTGGTGTATAACTGCGGTATCAATTTTATGGAGAAATCCTGGTCAATATTTTATGACCAATAATTCAAAAAAAATATTATTTAATGTAATATTTTCACATTTATCAAAAGAATCAAGAAATTTATTGAAAAAACAAGTAATTGATGATCTTATTACAGAAACAAGTCAACGACCTTTATTTAATTATATTAGTTTCTGGAAATATTTAAATTTCTTTCTTATAGAAAATATAATAACTCTCATTTCTCAAAAAAGTATTATGTCTACTATAACAATAAGGAATGAGATATTAAAATTATTTATTAATGGAAATACAAAATTTCTTCATCTTTCAATTCCAAGAAATTTTAATTATCAATTACATTATATTCTAGGGGTGGAACATTGTTTTTCAGAAATTGAATCATTATCCATTTATTGTAAAATCAGTCAGAATATTCTAGAATTATTAGCTAGAACATGTAAATCAATCAAAAGATTAAGAATTATTAATAATCAAAATGTGATTATTGATAATATTTCTGGAATCATTAAATTAATTGAAGTACAAGAAAAACTAAATGACGTAAGTTTCATCGATTTAACAAGAATGAATAAATCATTACACAAATCTCTTGAAGAATCATTAATTAAACATGCAGATACTATCCAATATTTGAGAATGGATTGGTTACCTTATACAAGGATTCTTTCATACCTTGTAAATTTATTAAGTTTTGAAATTGATTTACCATACAATAAAAATTTTGGTGAATTATCTAAATTTAGATCATTTCAAATTATTAAAAATATAAAGGGTCATGGAGTTCCACCTGATGTTTTAGCAAATTTAATTGAAAGCACGAAAATACATCTTTCTGAAATTAGCATATATTGTGTTGTTTTTAATGTTAGTGGAGATAAAAGACTTATTCAAACTATTTATCAAAATTGTCCAAATCTAAGATATCTTAAATTATCATTAGTTTTTTATGACAATTCACTTATTTCAGAACTTGATAATTTATTAATTAATTGTAAATTTTTAAATGAATTAATTATTGATGTTACTGATTCTCAATTATTTGGTTGGGATAAATTATTTGTAATGTTAGCTAAATCTTCTTCAATTAATTTATTTGATTTTAAATTTTTTTCTAATAAGATAATTGAATTAAATCATATAAAATTATTTTTAGATAATTGGAAAGATAGAAATCCTATGTTATTAAAAATATGTACTTCTATGAGTTTGAAAGAGAAGCAACAATTAGAAGATTTAATCGAACCATATAAAGCGAAAGGAATAATTAAAAATTATTTCATTGGTTTTGATGGAAATATAAGTGAAAAACTGGAATGGATTTAAATTTTTTACGGCATAAAAATAATTATAAAATTCTTTATAATCTTTTGTAATTTTAATTTTTCTGTAAAATTAAATTAAAAATTTATTATAATATATCAGATATATGTGTACTGAATATTAGAACAGAATGATTATTCGTCAAAGTAACTTTTTGAATTTGTGTACATACAATTTGATCATGAGAGAAATATAGCGCAGCTAATTTCTCGTCATCTCGGAGATTTTTTTTTTTTTTTTTTTGGTAATGCCGTTCGAATTTAATTGTTTGTTTAACGCCCAGACTTTCTGAAAAATTTGAATGGAAAAGTTTTGGGAAAATTTGGAAAATTTCAGAAAATTCCAGAAAATCATAATTTAAGTTAAAGGAGCATTTATACATAAAAGGTTTTTCAAAATTTAGCTGTTAGATTTTAAGTTGGAACGGCCTAATAATGAATCAATGAAAACAGAAAAAACAAGATATTATTATAAAAACATAATAAGAACTTTGTCATTTCATCCATAACTTTGTTCTTCGAGCGACTAAATCGTCCTTCTAATTCAGTCACGTGACTTAATGATAACTTGGAAGAATGCGAGTTATGTATAAATTTTTTTTGTAATATGATATTTCAACGTATTAAAAATTTCCAGTTCCTTTTTATGTGATATACTGTATATTTTAATATATAAAAAGTTACTTGTTTTTAATTAATATCAAAAAAATTTTAAGTAGTATATAACCTATCGAAAAAAAAGTTGTGGTTTCCTGACATATAATTGGTTGTAACAAAATTGATTTTCATTGTTAAAATGATCTTACTAATCAGTATAATAAAATGGATTCCTTAACCCAAATTCGGTTAGTCAAATCAAAATCACCTTTGAAATATAACCAAATATATTTTAAGACGCCTATTGATGTTTCAATCTAACGGAATTTATTAATGATGCTAAATAAACGAATTCAGCCCTCTCAATGATGAAAGAATCTTATGTTTCTTTAGCAATCATGACCATTAATGGTTTAGTTTGAAAATAACTTTACCGATTTAAGGAATATGCAAAAATACTGATTTTTTTCCGGAGGTTTGTGAACGAATGAAATTACGTGCTTTGTAATTAACAGTTGTTTAAACTTTTTTTTGTGTTTACCGAAATTTAGTATCACACATTAAGTACTATTAGTACTCTACCTTTTACCGCATATAAATTAAATATTACTACGGTTATTACGGACTTTATAAAAAATAACCATTTATTTTTCACTAAAGATAAATAAATATTTGTAAACCAAAAATTACTATTTCTTGCTTTCTTTTACAAAATAGTAAGTACAAATAATTTTTGCATTATCTATCATAGATACTTCCATTTCTTATCTATAGATTCACATGATTCATATGATTTGCTTTCCGCCTAATAACATTTGATAAGCGGACTTTATTGACGGATCAAAATTATTACACACCGAGCTAGGGAGAATTTGTCACACACCAATATTCTGAGCAGAAATTTTTTTTATAGCTCGTGCATAAAATGAAAGAAATAAATGCCTAAATAAGCATTTAATCAAAAATCGTCGCTCAAATAACCAATTTGGAAACTATGGTCTGATCTAACGTACAATAATATATATACTGTAATTCATAAGTTATAACGTTTCAGAGTTTCTTTTCCTACAGTAGAAAATAATATCATAATGCAAGCTAATATTGATAATTCAAATGAATACATTAACTGGATTGAAGAAGCAATTTCTACAGGGAATATTAAATGTTATGATTATGGACGCTTTCGTAATATTAAAGAAATTAGTATCGGAAGTCTCGGGAAGGTCTATTGTGCGAATTGGAATAATTTTAAGGATCACATGGCATTAAAATCGTTTTATAATCTTAATAAAATCACCGCCAAAGAAATTGTTCATGAGGTACTATATTTTAATGTGACCTCACTGTAAATCATACTTGTTTTATTTAACTATATTATTTTCTTATGATATAGATACAACTACAGCGTGGATTAGATTTTCATAATAATATTGTTCGCTTTTGTGGAATTACAGCAGGTATAATAAATATTTAATGTAATTAGTATAAATGGAACATTGTAATTATAATATAAAAAATCTCTTTATTATTAATCTGAACGGATTGCAAAAAAAAAAAATCCAATTATGGTTATATACAAACTCATGGTGTAACATAATTAAATTTTGTTAATTTTTTTTCTTTTAATCAGAAAACAATACGAAAAATTATTCGTTAGTGATGGAATATGCCGATAGTGGTACCCTTAGAAATTATTTGAAGGAAAATTTTGAAACTCTCACTTGGGATGACAAATTTAATCTAGCATTTCAATTAACTCACGTCGTGTTATGTTTACATGACGAAGGGGTCGTGCACCGTAATTTGGTATTGGTCCATTTATTTTATATATATTACGCATAGATCTTACGTAATTATAATTAATTCTCTTTTATTACAATTAATAATAGCATTCTAATAATGTATTAATTCATAAAAATACCATCAAATTGGCCAATCTTGGTTTATCCAAAAGAATTGAAGAAGCGTCCGATCCTCAATCTAGATCAGTTGGAATGATTCCTTATGCTGACCCAAAAAGTTTTGCACAAGTAGATAGTCAATCACAAATGTATTCATTAAATGAAAAAAGTGATGTTTACAGTATTGGTATATTATTGTGGGAAATATCAAGCGGTCATCCTCCTTTTCCTGACGAACCACATGATATTGGCCTGATTATGGATATTTTGGATGGTTATAGGGAAGTACCAGTTCCCAATACACCTAAAGAATATGTAAAAATTTATACTGGTAAATATAATCCAAAAACTTTTTAAAGTTATAATTTTTTAAATTATGTTTCGATTTATTAAAATTATATATTTTTTTTTATTTAGAATGTTGGAATAGTGAGCCGGATGATCGTCCAACTATCAGCGAAGTGTTCGATAAATTGAAAGCAGCAAAAGAAAAATTTATAAATGAAACTAATTATAGTATGATTGTTGATAAAATGGTTATTCTTTTTGATAAGATAGAAGAAAAAAAAGAAAATGAAAAACAGATCATTCTTAATTATCTCAAGAATCATAATATAATTCCATTAGAATTCTATGATTGGTTATTAAGTAATCAAGATAATTCAAATTCAAATTATATAGTTTTACTTGGAGAATTTAATTATTTAGGAATAGAAACAGATATTAATGAGTCAAGAGCATTTGAATTATATCAAAAAGCTGCAAATTTAGAAAATATTTCTGGAATAAATAATTTAGGTTATTTTTATCGAAATGGAATTGGAGTAATTCCTAACAAAAAAAGGGCATTTGAATTATATCAAAGAGCTGCAGATTTAGGAAGTATATCTGGTATGAATAATTTAGGATATTGTTATGAAAATGGAATTGGAGTAAGTCCTAGCGGAAAACAGGCATTTAAGTTATATGAAAAGGCAGCAAATTTAGGAAATACATATGGAATGAAAAATTTAGGAGATTGTTATTACTATAAAATTGGAACTAAAATTGATGAACAAAGAACATTTGAATTACTCCAAGAGGCAGCAAATTTAGGAAATACGTCCGGAATGAATGATTTAGGACATTCTTATCGACATGGAATTGGAACTAATGTTGACAAAGAAAAGGCATTTGAATGTTATCAAAAAGCAGCAGACTTAGAAAATTGTGTAGCTCAATATAACCTTGCATTTATGTATGAAAAAGGAGAAGGAACGGAGAAAAATTTAGATAAGGCAATTTATTGGTATAAAAAATCTGCAGAACAAGATCAAGATGCTCAAATGAAGTTGAAACAACTTTTAAAATAAGTAATCAAATTAGTAAATTTCATTTAAAAGTTAATTTTGATTTATCTTTAGAAAATTTATTTTTAGAATGAACGAATATTACAAATAAAGATTATACTACGTAAGCGTGGTGACGCAAGTTGGTTCAAATTAAAGTAATAAGCTTTTGAGCCATTGCGTCTGATTCGTGCATGTATCATAAACAAAACATGAAGATATAGTTTGATTAAGTCGATCTATTTGTCGTGCCAACGTCGGCAGTGCATAATACAAATAAAAAGGGTACCGGTACACACATTTGATCAAAAATAACATCATTTGATCAAATTAATTAAGTAAACTAAATAAGAATTTTATATGGCAAGGTGTAAACCAGATAGTTTCTTCTTCGTAATACAAACAATATCATCTTTTTTAAATAAATAATACATAAAACCTTCATTTATCTAACAATAATTTTTTTGACCCTTTTTGGTTTTGAATTTTAATAATAATAAATAGTTATTGGATGGGAAATAGAGATATCGGCCGAAGACCGATATCCTCCATCCAATAACTGAGTTATAGTTCAGTCACTAGGAATACTGTGGTGACCAATAGGAATTAATGCTACTAATACCGCTTGCAATATAATAAAAATATCGGTCATTTAATCCCAAAATGACTGAACAATAGTTTGAATAGACGAATCAAAATTTACACACAATGAATTCCCAATTTAGGCGAACATATAATGAGGTGATCATTGATTTATGCATATAATTTTCACAAACGCTTGTTTGCAATTTTTAAAAACTTTTTCTCACATTAGCCAAAATGCAAACTATAAATAATACTGACGATTCAAATGAGTGGACTAATTGGATTGAAGAAGCTATATATAATAAACTTATTAAATATTTTGATTTTAAACATTTTAACAACGTTCAAGAAATTGGTTCCGGTAGTTTCGGCAAAGTTTTTCGTGCAAATTGGAAAAATTTCAGTGGACGTTTTGCATTAAAATCTTTTTATAATTTAAATAAAGTTACGATTAAAGAAATTGTTCATGAGGTAAAATTATCATATAATAATACATATTTCATTCATAATTAATTATTTACAATAACGTTCCTAATTTATAGATACAACTTCAACATCAAGTCGATTTTCATGAGAACATTATTCGCTTTTATGGCGTTGCAGGTATTATAAGTATTTAATAATATTTTACGATGAAGTATTGGATCACAATGATAAAATGATGTTATTATGTTATTCAACTTTAACTAATTGAATTTTTTTTTCTTTTAACAAGGAATCGATTCAAAGGATTTTTATTTGGTGATGGAGTGTGCAGATAGTAGTACTCTTCGAAATTATTTAAAAGAAAATTTTGAAAATCTCACTTGGAACGATAAATTAAATCTAGCATTTCAATTAGTTCATGTTATATCATGTTTACATAATGAAGGAATCGTACATCGTGATTTGGTAATTACATTTTTATAATTGAATTATTATACTAAACGAAATCATGATTCAAAATTCTTATTATTTATGTTTGTATTTGCATTTAAAAATAGAATTCCAATAATATATTAGTTCATCAAAATACCATCAAACTAGCAGATCTTGGCCTGTCAAAAAGAATTACAGAAGCGTCAAATTTTCGATCAAAATTATCAGGAATGATTCCTTACATTGATCCAAAGAGTTTTATTAGACAAAGAGATGAACACAATCAAATAGAAATGTATTTATCAAATGAAAAAAGTGATGTTTATAGTGTGGGTGTGTTACTATGGGAAATAACCAGCGGTCATCCCCCTTTCAAAAATGAACCATATGATATTGGTTTAGCCGTAGAAATTTCAATGGGTCGTAGAGAAATTCCTGTTTTTGAAACATCCAAAAATTATGTAAAAATTTATACTGGTAAATATGATCTAAATTAAATTATAATTTATAAAAAATATATATGTTCTAATTAATTAAATTATACACTAATGTATGTATATATTTAGATTGTTGGAATAGCGAACCAGATGATCGTCCAAATATGAATGAGGTTGCTAAGAAATTGAAATCATTAAAAGATCAAATTTTGGATGAAGTGATTTCATCAGAAAAAAATAAATTTATCATGGTGGTTAATGAGATAGTTGATTTACTTACGAAGAAAAAAAAAGGGTACGAAGAAAAACTAAGTATTATTGATTATTTAAATAATAATAAGATAACTTCGCAAGAAATTTATAATTGGTTATTAAATAACCAAAATAATTCAAATTCAAATTCTATAGTTTTACTTGGAGAATTTAATTATTTAGGAATTGAAACAAATATTAATGAACAAAAAGCGCTTGAATTATATCGAAATGCTGCACATTTAGAAAATATGTTTGGAATAAATAATTTAGGATATTGTTATCAACATGGAATTGGAACTAAAATTAATAAAAAAAGGGCATTTACACTTTATGAAAAAGCTGCAGGTTTAGGAAATATTATTACAGCTCAAAATAATCTTGCTTTTATGTATGAAAATGGAGAAGGAATTGTAAAAAATATTGATCAAGCAATTTATTGGTATAAAAAATCTGCTGAACAAGGAGATCAAGATGCTAGAAATAAATTAGAAGAACTTTTTCCAAATGATGAATCTTTTGAAGAAACTGATCGTAAGCGAAGATATTATGATGAGAATGTGCAAAAGAACAATAAAAAATCTAAAAAACGTCATCATCATTATAAGGCGATATTCACAAATTCATCCATTAAGTCCGGAGAAGGTATCAAAGATAATGATGATTCGTTAAATGATTAAATTTAGCAATTTTATTTTGACATCTTTTTTTTTTATTTATTAGATTTATTTTTTTAATTATAATTAATTTACATATTTATTAAATAAAGTTTTAATATATTAAGTATTATTCATCATGATCATATATTGATAGTAACTGAATTACTAAATTAATTATATATATATAGTGTTTAAATTGACAGCACTCTGCGCTTTCTGTAAACAAAAAAAAAAGACGTAGCACAAACACTACTTAACCCTCCTGTTCGATCATGCTCAGCACTTTTTTGACAGCACTAAAAAAAATTAGTGCGACACAAAATTGGGACGAATCATAAGTTAATTGATGTAATTATGACGTGATCAACGAAGCCACGATGATGATTATGTTTAAGAAAATAGTTGATCTCTAAAAAGATTAATTGTGAGATGTGTTTTATATAATTGTACCGTATATAGTTAATAGGATAATTAAGGAGTATAATAAATTTTAAATTTAATTCCTTTTTTAGCTTTTTATCTGTGATTGCAAAAAAACATAAATGCACATGTAATTAGTCAATGCGGGATATTCACGTGCAATATATTCATGTAAATTCAAACCCTTACATTTAAGTATTAGGCCAAAAAAATACAGTACAGGAAGAAAAACGCGTAGTAAACCAAGTAAATTACTGGTATATACAAGAATTACTGTTTTCTTGTAAGAAGGCGATGCAATTGAGATCAGGTTAAATTTTTAAATACATACTAGGATTCACCTGTTAACTACGTTAACAGTTAATATTTAAAACTTAAAAACATATATAAAGTAAAATTTTAATTATATATATATAATACCTGCGCCTTGCCATTTTAGTTTCACATACAGGTGGTTCTTGTTTTTGCGCTCCTTTATTCTCTTTTTTCGTTCTTTAACTTCGTTTTAACTTTTTTTTTCTCTTAGGTCCAAGCACTTCGGCATTTTGGCTCTTCAATTTTCGGCTCTTTGGTTCTAAGGTGCATCTTTTTTTCATTTTTTTTTGTTCGTTCTGACTATTCTTTCCTCCCAGACATGACGCACTTCAATAACAGATGGTTCAAATGCAAGTACATAAGGATAACGGGGAACTATAATGTAAAAAATTTCCAATTAATATAACTCATTTAACATCTCAAAAAAAGTAAGAAAAGCAAAATTATATAGTTTACCAAGGGATTTTATTTTTGTTTTTTATGTTTTGCTCAATAGGTCCCAGCTCTTCGGGCTTGATATTTCGGTTTCAAGGTTCCAAGGTACTTTTTTTCATTTTTTTTTTCTCTTTTTGTCTTTTTTTTCGTTCGTTATATTGTTCTAACTCTTCTTTCCTCTTAGATTCCAGCTCTTCGGCATTTCGGCTCTTTGTTCTATCGTTCTAACTCTTCTTTCCTTTTAGGTCCTGGCTCTTTGGCAACTTCGGTGCTTTAACATTTCGGTTCCGTTCTTTTTTTGTTCTTTAACTTTGTGCTAATTTCATTTCCTCGATAGGACCTGGTTCTTCGGCAATTTCGGCGCTTTGGTATTTCGGTTCCATATAGATGGGTTCTTTTTTTCGTTCCTTTGTTCTCTTTTTTTCTTTCTTTAACTTTGTTCTACATAACTTTTTTTTTTTTTGCTTCTTTCTTTTTTGCTTTTTTTTTAATTACGGCAATCGCGTATGAAGCGTGCCTATCATGTAAAAAATCAAGATTTATACTTTGCATTACACACTGCAGTTACACAATTGTAAATTGTTATTTATGTGGTTAGTCTAAACGTAACGCCCACGTGATTGCAGTGGTTTTAAATATTAGATTTCAAAAAAAGAAAAGAAAAGAAAAAATATACTCGTTGAATAACTAATTTTTATTTTTCTTCGACCGTTGGATTATACCTTTATTTTTCGGTTCTTTTTTATACACGAACGATCTTCGCAATGAATTTTTTCTCATCACATGTCAGCCGAATATAGTAAATTAATTAGAGAATTTGGTTTTCCCATTTCTATAATAAATTTGTTATAGCAAATGACATGTGATGAAACAAATCCGCTGATATGTCCATTCACTAATTGAGTAATTACCGATTTAATACCCTTGATAAGCTTTTAACCAACCGGATACAACCGGTAATTATAATTTAAAATTCGATATTTCAAATATTCGGGACTAAAATAATTTTTACGATTACATAAGATATTCATGTTTTACAACCGCCAACGGAATGAACGGATGTGGTTGTGTGGCTTGTCAATTTGAACAATTTTGAAAGGTGGCTAGGGTGCGGGTGGCATAAAAAACGCAATTATTGCAACACCGCCTCTTTATTATTTACTATAAATAAAATGATCGACTGATCACCTGACTACATGCATATATAAATGTTGAGCGAGTATTGTTTTGTTGGTTTTTTTTTAAAAAAAAAAGTTCTCCCAGCGACGGTTAATTACAAGACACAATTAACAATAAAACACACTTAGTTACAAGTTATTATAATAAATAATTTTAATATGCAAATTGAAAATTCAAACGAATGGAATAACTGGATCGAAAATGCAATAGCGAGCAGAAATATTAAACAATATGAATATAAAAATTTTAGTAACATACAAGAAATTTGTTCCAGTAATTTTGGAAAGGTTTACCGTGCAAATTGGAATGACTTTCATGGACATTTAGTTTTGAAATCTTTTTATAATCTCAGCAAAACCACACTTAAAGAAATAGTTCATGAGGTAATAATTTATAATTATTTATAATACGTAATTAATTAATTAAATATATACATATTTTTAATATATTTTACGATTTAGATACAACTTCGGCGTCAAATAGATTTTCACAATAATATTATTCGATTTTGTGGTATTGTAACGGGTATATTATTTTTACATATTTTGTATGACGTGAATTGTTATCATGATGAAATAAAATAATGTTAACCGATCTTTTCTTTTTTCTTAATAAGAAAACAATCCAAAAGATTTCTTTTTAGTAATGGAATATGCCGATAGTGGCACCCTTAAAAATTATTTGAAGGAAAATTTCAAAAATCTTACTTGGAATGACAAATTCGATCTAGCATTTCAATTAGTTCACGTTGTGTCATGCCTACATGACGAAGAAATTGTACACCGTAATTTGGTATTCGTTCATTTATTTTATTTTATTATTTTATATATTACGCATATATCTTACGTAATTATAATTAATTCTCTTTTATTATAATTAATAATAGCATTCTAATAACATATTAATACATCAAAAAAATATTAAATTAGCAAATCTTGGCCTATCTAAAAGAATTGAAGAAGCGTCCGATCCTCAATCAATTGGAATGATTCCTTATGTTGATCCAAAGAGTTTTACCAGGAAAAGAAATAGGGATAATGAGATTGAAGTGTATTCATTAAATAAAAAGAGTGATGTTTATAGTGTGGGTGTATTGTTGTGGGAAATATCCAGCGGTCGTCCTCCTTTTGATAATGAACCGTACGATATCGCATTAGCTATGGAAATTTTCAGTGGCCGTAGAGAAATTCCTGTTAGTGATACACCCGATGATTATATAAATATTTATACTGGCAAGTATTTTATTTTAAACTCAATCATGTACTAGATGATTAATTGATTTAATTGGCTAAAAAATTTATTTAAAATATGAATTTTTCTTCTTTAGGTTGTTGGGACATAGAACCAGATAATCGTCAAACTATGCGTCAAATTACTTCAAGTATTAAGAAAATCGAATATGAAACTATAGAAGCAAATGACGTAAATTGTGACGAAATGGTTATCGATGATCATGAAAATGTCGTGGTTGATAATGACCACGTTGAAGAAAGTATTGAGAAAGATGTAGTTAATGAAGACCATAATTATGATGAGGAAATGGCTGTCGAAGAAGAACATGAAATAGAGGTTAATGATGATAATATTAAAGAATTAATTGAACTACTTAGTTCTATGAAAATAGAAGAGGAAAAACATAAAATTCTTGAATATCTTAATGAACGTAACATAACTTCACGATTAATATTTAATTTTATTTCAGCTAATCAAAATAATTCAAATTCATTAGTTATTCTTGGTAGATTCAATCATTTAGGAATTGAAACAGAAATTAATGAACAAAAAGCTTATGAATTATATCAAGATGCAGTAAATTTAGGAAATGTATATGGAATGAGTTATTTAGCTCATTGTTATGAGCATGGAATTGGAGTTGATGTTAATAAACAAAAAACATTTGAATTATATCAAAAGGCTGCAGATTTGGGAAATGCGCCCGGTGAAAATAATTTAGGGTATTGTTATGATTATGGAATTGGAACTAACGTTGATAAAGAAAAAGCATTCGAGTTATATAAAAAAGCTAAAGAACAAGGCCTTATTATAGCCAAATATAATCTTGCTCAATGTTATCTAGAGGGGAATGGCGTTGATGAGGATCCTGACACCGCTTTCGAATTATATAAAGAATTGGCTTATGAAAATTACCCAGACGGAGTAGAACGTTTAGGATATTGTTATCAATATGGAACTGGAACTAATATTGACCTTCAGAAAGCATTAGAGTTATATCGAGAGGCAAAAAAATTAGGAAGTATATCTGGAATGACTATGTTAGCGACTTGCTATCATGATGGAATTGGAACTAACTCAAATAAGAAGAAGGCATTGAAACTATTTGAGGAGGCTGCAGATTATGAATATAATGAAGCTCAATTTAATCTTGCTTGTATATACGATAAAGGTGAGGGCGTTAGTAAAGATAACAAGAAAGCTTTTGAATTATTTAAAAAATTGGATGAAAGTGAACATCCAGATGCGATTTGTTATTTGGCACATTATTATCTAAATGGAATCGAAACCAGTGTTGATAAAAGAAAGGCATTTGAACTATATCAAAAATCAGCGAATTTAGGTAGTTGGACAGCCCAATATATGCTTGCTACTATGTATGGAGCGGGGGAAGGAGTCGATAAGGATATTAAGAAAGCCTTTGAATTATTTAATGAGTTGGCCGAAAATGAATACCCAAATGCAATGATACAATTAGGGTACTATTATCAACATGGGATTGAAACGAATGTAAATGAAGAAAAGGCGTATGAACTATATAAAAGGGCTAAACGCCTAGATAGCAGTGTAGGTAATGATATTGAGAAAGATATTGAGCAAATATTTAGTAAATATGAGCAAGGATCAGATGATGATCAAGATGAAATGGAGAGTTCCAGAAAGAGTAAACGGAAAAAGAGAAACATTAATAATGAATAAAATTATATAATTAGTAACTTTTTATGTTTTTTAAATTTTTTGTTTTGAATTTAAGTAACTAAGAAATATTTATTTTTCTCTTATGCTCCTTAAATTTAATATGAATATGATTGACTTATTCATCGAGTAGGTTTATTAATAAGACAATTAAGACGTGATAAGAACAAAATTGTTATAATAAAAAGTATATTGATCTACTAAAAAAAATAAAGAAAAGGAATAATTTAAAAAAAAAACATTGGCCACGACTCCGAGTATGAATTTATTTTAAAGGATATAATAAAGCTTTTATCATTATGTTCTACTTTGTTTTAGGGATTAATTAACCCAATAACTGCAATCTAGGAATTGATCGATCAAATTACCGAATTTGATGGAAAAAGTTCGAGTCTCGATTATTTAGTAGACGTAGACTCAATATTAATCGTTTCGATTAAAACAAAATTATTTATAGCTTCAAATCATGAAAATTATTCGGCTGGCTGAGATTTTGTCATCATGTAACAAAGATTCACGAGTTTTTAAAGAAAATATGGAGATGAAACGAAAATATTCAAATAAAATTTTTACAAATATCACGCATGAAAGCAGGTCAGTTCATTTTAAGACTTGTATCCATATACGGCACTTTCAAAATCCGACTAGTATCTAATGATAAATGATAAAAATCAAACTATTAGAATAGCTGTTTTATTCATGTTTATTTTATTTTAAAAGCCCATGTACGTGGATATTTGATCTTTTCTGCAATTTCTTCTCACATCTACTAACTCACTGATCTTATGAACTTCCATTTACTATATTAACTCTGACTTTATAACCAAGATTTGAATTTATCATTATACGTGCATAATTTAACTATAAATGTTTTACAATATTTATTTTTATAATTTGGCCAGGTCGGAAACTAAACTAATTGAACCGCCTTCTTAATTATACTTTTTTGTTATTTCATAAATAAAAACGACGTATATGCTCAATAAAATTTAAAGTAATTATTGTAAAATAATACAGATTGTTCATACCAATAAGCAGCTTTATCTATATCTTTTGCAATTCCTCCTTCATTTCATACGACGATATATATTGTGTCATATTATTTATAATTCAAATGCCTTTTTGCCTAGTTTCAAATATTAATTTTACAATAAACCACGATATATTTTAAAAATTATTATTACATATTAATAAAAAGATTAATTATTACAAGCATTATAATAATATTACGTCTATAGAAAAGTAATACAGTCAACTCCCTCTAAGTGCACTCTCTCTAAATGCACATTATATATTTTTCTTTAAATGCATCCTCTTGCTCAGTCCGAAGTATATAAACATTATATAAATTTCTCTCCCTAAATGCACTCCCTCTTTAAATGCACATTTTTTCAAATCAGTTTCATTATGGTTGCACTGACTGTAATATAAACTTAAAAAAATAATGTGTCGGGAATCGTTTTACTTGAATTTTTACCTCCAACGGTAATTCAACTCTTCAATGATGTAATTTTTCTTAAATGAACATTCTCTTTATAATCTGTGTTTACTGTCTTCCATTATTACATCATCCAGTTTACCTATAGTGTATTGTATCACATCTATTTAGATTAACATATTTAAATTTTGTCAATAGTACACGTGTTTCTATTTTTAATAATTTTCGCTATCAAATAAAATAGCCAGTATGCCCAAATATTTCTTCTTCTATAACACGTATAAAAGGAATTAACATGTTCTCTTTACCTGCTGACGCGTCTATTTTACTCCTGATTTAAATATTAGGATTTTCTAGGAACTACCATTATATCTTGTTATAACATTTTTAATATTTTTGAATATTATTAAAATGTCTGCTATGTACAAATGGTCCACTGAGGAATTGATATCCTTTTTGAAAAGTAAAGACCTACGATTGGATGATGAAGACTTTCAGGTTCTTCGTGAAAAAAAAATCGATGGAGTTATTTTTCCTAACTTAACAGAGGAAAGGTTGATAGAATACGGGTTAAAGCGTGGACCTGCCATGATGATCTCTATGGAGGTTCAAAAGCTTCCTAACCACCTCTCACTTTCCCACGGGAAGATAAATTATTTCCGACTCTTTCCTCCCTCTCAGTGGTCTCTCTTGGATTTCTCTAATTGGGTCTCCTCTTGTTGGCCTTCTACAGCAGAGGATACGAGAAAAACAAATCAATTTTTCTTTAACACACTATACATCCTAAGAGACGATCCAGCGGTTTCTACTGAAGTTCTCGATGTGGTCACAAATTTGTTGACGCAGAAAAAGAAAGTAAGCATAGATAATTTTTCATCCCTAATATCTATTCATTAAATATACTTCATTGATCTCAAACTTTCGCTTGGAGGCTGTATATTTTAGGTTTTATTTGGAGATTCTTGTGGAGGTATTGGTCATGTACCTTCCTTTATACGCATAAGACTTTTCTGGATATCTCCTAATTTTTCTTTTAATGTGATCCTATCTTTAAATAACATTTATCCCCTTACGCAATTATTATTATTATTATTACTATTATATTATATATATATATTTTTGTTGATCTTTGTTTTTTGAACGATAAAATAGTCCACCTTTTATTATGATTTCCATTTCAATTTTTCTACGCTTACTGAGTAAATAATCCATTTACTTCATCTTCTTTTATTTTCTTTTATATAGGAAAAATCTCAAAAGAATCGGCTCGCAAACCGACAGAATTACTGAACACGTGCAATCGAGTCAAAAAAGATTAGAATTCAGTAGAAAAAAATGTAATTATATGACAATTATTCTATAAACTGCACTTTGTGTTTGTTTTAGACATTTTGTCTATATATTTACTTAACATAAGCTCTTCGATATATAATTTCAGTTCATTTTATCGGATGGCCATTTCGCCAAAGGACGTTATGCCGAAGCCATTTCGGTTTTTCTTAAGTTTGAATAACAAAAAAAAAAAAAAAAAAAAAAAAATATTCGTTAGAAAATAGTTGGGTAAAAGTGATTTAGAAGATTTTTTAATTAGAGTGTAAACCATCGACAAAAATTATGAAGTTGAATAAAGAAGAATTCTGATTTAAAAAATTATAGATTTAATATATGAGATAAATAAATCTGTTATATTCCTGTTTTAAAAGAAATACTATTAGTTTTTTTTTATCGTTCTCTTGAACATGTTACACAATAATTTCCGTCCAATCAAATTAGTATGATACGATAAGTTTTCTTTTTTTTAATAAAAAATATAAAATTTGATGTATAAACAAGAATGTACCGAAGGCTTTACTATTATTGCGGTTGACAATTGAAATAGTGTTTATTGAGTTTGAATGTATGCACAATCAAAGATTACACTCTAACATTATTAAATTGCTTGAACTCACTAGTCATACATTAGTTCAATTTTATCTGGAATGATTGCCTTGTACTCTAAAATATATAAAAGGTTATAATTAGTAGATAAAATAAGGAATTGTATTGCATAAAATTACTTAGCTTGTGGAATCTGAAAATCTTCTCAACTTTCTTTATCAGATTCTATCATAATCTACTTCATTACCTTCATAGGGTTTCATCTCAATCCATTCTTTAACAATTTGAAATTTCGCACGTATTAAAGAACTCTCCTCAGGAAATTTTTCCATTCGACGGCACACCAATACCCAACGATCTGCAGATCGCAATGATGTATTAAGCATATGTGTAACCTTGTACCTCATAACTTATCGTCACTTCGATACTGCACCAAACATCTCGGCACTTGAAGATGCTTATAACTTTATTTTCGGAAAATTTATTCGATATAATGCGCACTGTATCTCGGCATGTGACGGAAATCTGGTGATAGAAAGCCAAAAAATTAATACTTGTTGCTTATAATATAGAATAAGCTTACTTCTGATTAGGCACATGATGGTGATCACGATTTTCTCAGCGAATATCAAATGCGCAGAATCAAGAAAGGTAATATGTCCTTTTTATCTTTGAGCATCTATGGAGCCGGAAAAAAATGATTAGCATCGTGATGACGATTTTCTAGAATCAAGTCAATAAATCAACCAAACTAGTAACTTTGTTATTACTTTACGGAATATACCTCGTTGTGGTAGTTTGAATATTGCTTTTGATTTTTTTTTTTGCTTTACTTGCACGAGGCGGATAAAAGGATTTAAGTCCTTACCTTTTTATATGATTTGTAGTGAGTTTAAGGAACGATGTTTGGAATAAATTTTTGGAAAATTATGCTATTATGATTCATCACGAAAATCAGATCAGCGGACACTCCTTAAAATTATAATAAACACTGGGGTCGTGTCCCTGGATCAACAAGGGGTCTTTTTGCATGCAAAAGCTTGAATATATGCGGGAAATTTCGAGAATAAATTATATGGTGCTCCCGTAATACACGGTTATATATCCTAATGTGGATCACCAGATGAAAAACTGCTGATCGAGAAATATTAGCATATAAACACAATCCACACTTTTCTCAACACATACTAGATATTGATATGTAAATATATTGCACCTAATGCTTTTGCTTTATTGATTGCAATTAAAAATACATATTTTTGTTCATGTAGTAGAATAATATCTTATACCGCCTTGACTATTGATCCCCCATTTGCCATGTAAATACCAATACTTTTTTACACAACAATGCCATGCTTGAAGAGTTACGGCTAAGACAATATTCCACCTCATCTTGGGGTAACAACTTCGCTGATTCAGGATCATAGGGAAGCTGATTTCCATTTTCTACAGTAACTTGCTTGAGGTGAGACTGATTCTGCTGAAGTCACATGACTCTGATCGTTACCATTGGTAACGGTTTTCGCATTCACATAACCTATAATATTTTGAATTTGAGTATTGTTTAATCTAGAAATATCACTCGCGCTACAAGTGACTAATTTAATTCTATCTACCCCAACCCCTTTTCTCCAAATAGCATTAACTCTATGGGTTTGAATTCGCAAATTGTCTTGAGTGACATTGGGTATATTTCTTTATATATCATTCTTTTTGCTTTCTTATCTTTAATCTTGTGAAGCAGAGATATCATCATCTATACTAAGTGATAATTTCGAATCCTGATCGTTAGTTCGTTACCAATGGCAACGGGTTTTTGTCACGTGATAATTTCGAATCTACTGAAATTGTTATCGGTTGTGAAAAGTCCGAAGTGACGTTCTGGACTTGATTTTAGCTGACTCACGTAGAAGTTTCTTCTCCTTAGCCTTGTTTCATCGCCAACACTTTCTTTGTGCTTCATCCAAGAATTTATCCATCTCTCTTTCCTTATACCCAAAACCTTCCTCACACTCTTACGGAGGTTAGCATACTCTTTGGAATCATTAACCAAGGCCTTCTTGATAAATTCGATTGAATAGGCAGTATCGCTTGCCTTGGAATTTTTTTCAGGACTATATAGAAGGAAGTGCCAGTCCCACCTACGGGAATTTTATGCTGTTTGTCCCCTGTAATGTAAATAAGATCTTCGGCTTCCTATTCGTTCACACAGCAAGTAGTATTTTGGTCAGTGGTAAAGTTAACGTGGTGAATGCCAATAAAAAATCTCATACCTTAATCGCATAATCAACCCGTCCTTTACTTTCTTCCTCAACGATACCATATTGAGGTCGCATGCTAAGTTCCTTATTCGTCTCTTCCATGACGATATATATAGCAGAATAAAGAAGCGTCACCATATATTCATTACGCAGCCTCCAAGCTGTCTAATGTACCGTAGGAACCTAACCTAAGAAGTATCTCTGCCATGCAGTGCTTGAAAAACTTATTATCGTCTTAAATTTCGTAAGTTGGGGGAGAGAAGAGCGGGATGGAATCTATACCATCGGAATCGAGACCATATTTCGCTAACACCTTACTCAAACCGAGATAGGAGAAAGACCTCAACTTCTTTCCCTTACACTCCTTAGCGAACTCCGCAAGTATTACAGGAAGTACACACTTTCATCTTGAGGAAGGCACGACCAGTAACATCATAATTTTCTAAAATTTTGAGTGACGTTTCGCTAAGCCCTAAGTTCTGGCCCTTCAAAAGTTCAGCCGTGTCATATTTTTTAATATCGTCCGCTAACAAAACCGTCTCAACTCCAGTGACGCTAGTAGAGGTATAAGCTGGTGTATTACTTTCAGAGAGCAGACATGGTGCTTTTATAGTGATAGTAGGCGGATAAAAAAAATATTTCTGTGAAAGGGCCTAAGCATATGTTTTTATGTCGCACAGGCATTGCATCATTACACGTGATCTGCTTTCTCAATAACAATACTTTATGAAATGACTGATACACGGGTGCACCTGCCACTTTCAGTTTTTAAAACCAAGGTGACACTACCATTGCGCGGTTTGGTTTGCAGTTTTTTTGGATAACTTTCGATTCTAGCGTATAGTTTCTATGAAATGCATTTAAAAATCAATGAATAACGAAGGACAAGTATAATCACGCTTCCCCCCCTTTTCCCACCCTATATGCTAGTATAGCAAAAACGGCCTAAAGAGGCTTGTGTGGGAACTATAGTCTATATAGTATAAAAGTTTAATTGATTATGTACTATGATTTATTTATGATGTAATGATTCTTTGTACTAACTTGCCGCAGCTAATAAAATGGCCGATTAGCACGTGATTTTACTTGTCCTTCGTTATTCATTGATTTTTAAATGCATTTCATTAAAACTCATACATTTAATTAAATGAACAGAGCAACTGATACACCACTTTCAGTGTTTGGTTTGCAGTTTTTTTTGAATAACTTTCGATTCTAGCGTATAATTTCTATGTAATTTTCGAGGTTGCTCATTGAAAAAATCAGAAATCAAGGCCTGCGGTTTCATAGACATTCCATTGGGATAAACTTGTCGAATTTTTTAAGAGAATATTATTAAAGGATGTCCCCAAATTGCTTCGAATTATAGCTAGTAGCCTAGTACAAGTGCGCTAACTTGTTGACTCATGCCAACTGTAACTGATTGTATAGCTCTATCGTGTGGAAGAGCATGAAGTTGTCCACAAGAAACGATAAGACGATTGAGAGTGATTTTCGCTCATTTCGATTCCTAAATACAAAAGTCCATAATGAGAAAAATTCGGTGCATATATAACTTCTGGCATATACATACCTTATTTTTGCGTTATTTTTACGGGAATTATTTTTGCGGGGAAGTTGGCTGAACCTCTACATATTCTACACGCGTTTCAAAAAAGTTTAAAATAAAAATTAATTTATTAGAATCATTAGTGTTAGACATATAAAAATCATTGTCCATTTATTCTTCAAAATGGTGCAGTATGCAACGAGGGATTCTATCGCCTAGAAGAGTGTAAAGTTCACTGGAAGGCACCTATATGAAAGCCATACGGCGCATGTAAAAAGCATTCAGGTAAATATCGATCTCGAAAGCATTGCCATCAAATAAAGCTAGTCAAGCTGGCTAGGATGGCTTCAGTAGCAGATCCGACCCTATGAAAACTTTGGTCTAAGAAAGTTGGCCCTAGGAAGTTGGCCCTAGGAAGTTAGTCCTAGGAATTTGTCCCTAGAAAAAAATGTGGGGACACTTCGATACACAAGAAGTAACTTTTTTGGCGCTTTCAAAATTCTGGAAAGCCTTCTAGATGTGTGTCCCTATTGACCCTACCCTATAAAAAAAATTCTGGAAAAAACTCTGATAAATGATCATTTTTCTGAAAATTTTTTATAGGCTAGCGACCCTAGAAAAAAATCAAACT